CATCTGCAGCTCTTTTAAATGCTTCGATCTATTTGACCAGGTCTTCATCATCATTACCTTTGAAGGTTTTTACATGAACCCAGTTATTTTCACGCTAACTTGGCTAAATATTATACATTGCTATATCCTGAAAGACTTGAGCTATGTTTCTAAGAAGCTGGTACGCTTGGTTTGGATTGGCTTGCTCATTACATTCATTGGGCCTATCTTCTTCACTGATACTATCATCTATAAGTAGTCTCAAATCCTCCATGGTAAGTAGTTGATTTATTTTTTGAATAGTAGAAAATAGGTTATTGTTTGTAATAAGGGTTAATAATTGGGTAGTATAGGAAAGTTCAATCTTACAGTCACTACCAAATGTAAAAAGGAAAATAATTCTGGGCTGTATCAGAATAGTTACTGGGCTGATATATAATAACTCACTACTCCAAAATATCAATACTAATTACACTACTTTAACCAGAATACTAGAGCTACTGTAATCAAATCCTAGTATTGGTAAGGCAACGATCAAGGCGTGAAAAGACTTGGTTTGAGTAACCAGTGTTAATTAGATCAGTAGGATTAGTGTTGAGCTCAGATAAGTATTCTCTTATCTTCTTGTTCAATATTTTACTTCCTTCGATACTTGTAGTAATTGAAATTTCTTTTCTTCATAGGTACTGCGACATGGTCATGTGATTGAAGTTAGCCAATCGGGGATGTAGTACAAAGTCACAGTATCACAGGGTCTTGGTTTAGGTATAATCATGTTTATCACAAATTTAATCAGGATCGATTTATATATATAAGGAGTTACATTTATTACTAATACAACGTTTCTTTTTTACTAAGTATAACAATCGATATACAATGGTCACAGAGACAAGGTAATGCGAAATCGATGAATGATTTCTAACAGTATAGATATTATAGTTTACAGACAAGCACTTTTACTCTAATTTCGAAGGCTTTGGGGATTCAAAGATTATCATTAGGTGGAAAATATGTTTTTCGAACTCACTGAGTTATTTTTATTCAAGGTAATTTCACGCTGCTTATATATATAATTTTTATATACAACAAGATATCTAATATAACACTAATATCTAACATATCGATTATATCTAATATCTTTGTTATCTTTATTATTTCTAATATCTTTATCAACTTGATTATCCTGCTATCCAAGATATAACCATTATATTGCTAATAACTAAGATATCTAAGATCTTTAAGATCACAGATATTACAAAGATTTTTGTGATTTTAGGGATCTCTGGGACTTGTGTTACTAAAAGTTCTTAAAACTGCAGCAATTAATAAATACTATTTTTCTTTTTTATACCAGTCTGCTTTGCCATATAAATTTATGTGGTATAATGGTCTTTCTGCATTTGATAATGTAGTGTAAGATATATTTACTATATATGGTTGGTAGCTTGACTTTTTATATTAGTTTGTATCATTTTTGTGCATATAATCACCAAACAAATTTCCTCGCAATACCTAGAAAAGAAAATTTGTATTTTTTATTTTTTATACTAGATACAAGTACATGTACTTCTATATGAAAAACAAATATACATTTCTTTATTAGAGGGTAAATATAAAAAAATAAATAAATAAAAAAAAAATTTTAACAAAATCAAAAATATACTAAATTTACACTAGAATTTATTATTTTATCACTTTTTATAACCTTTTTGCACTATAATTTTATGTTGCTTTGAGAGTTATTTGTTGTTTTTTGTTTCTTTTCATCAAATTTCTTGCTGGTATGATGAATTGATAATCAATAATCATCAAAAGCTGTAGCAAAAGAATTTGAAGATTATATTCTAATTTAGATTATATTTTTATCATGACTAACTCTATAATCATTTCTAAATTTCTATAAATTATTATCTATGTGACTATAAATCTTGATTAAAATCTGGATTTACAATGTAATGAGATCGATACATTTAAAATTTAAAACAATGCCGAGCGAAGCAAAGCAGAATATAATAAATGTAAAACTGAGCTTGAATTGAGGTCAAAAGTTATTGCATTGGTTATTTCAAAACTAGCTTTATGTATTTGTGATCCCGTATATAAAGTTTTAGTATCTATGTTTAAATTGCATTTACATTATTAAAACAATTAATGATTGTTGAAATATGATAAAAAAATGTAGAGTTTAAAACTTGCAGAGCAAAGTGAGACAAAATATAAAAAACTTAAAGCTTGAGCAAAGCCAAGAACTTTGAAAAAGAACAAATAGAATACCACCTTAATATATATTTTTTGATTTTGCAATTAATCATATATTATTAAATTGTTGGTGTCTATTAATACTATATACTATTATATCTAATTATTAGTTGGCAGCAACTACATGATCATATACTAGTTAGTTACACATAATACACGACTGCCAATTATAACTTGCTATTCAATTTTATGTGATCAACCAATTATAGAAGTTATCCTATTAACAATTATCCAAAAATCAAAATCTACATAAATTCTGTTTCCACTTGCAACTTATATTATTAAAATACTTTCACTCAAGATTTGTAAAGATTTAAATAAAGGGTGGTACTATTTGTACCTCCCTTTTTTGCTATTTATACCCCCCTCCCATGTAAAAAAACATTTTATCCAATTTTTATATGACGTAATATAGTTTTTTTTTATCAATTATTTATACTATATAATCTAGTTGTTTATATAATATATAGTATATCCACTTTATTAAATATTAGACTTAAAAAACATGCAAAAATAACAATATGGCTAATTTAGATCATGATCTAACGCTAACACTAACTAGCTAGACAAACTAAACTTTTGGTCAACAAGTTATAAGTAATTTGTTCAAGATTAACATCGTGTATAGAAAATATAGCCCAAACTATGAATAGTTGGGTAGCTTTGACAATAATGATACAGTAAGATATAAGCAGTAGACAATGCTTTATAATATTAACAGAGCCACCTTTTTATTTTAATAACATCATGTTTTTGTTGCTAATTTTACTTTAAAATGCAAAAATGACTCTGCAGTGTTATAGAGCACCCAAAAATTATATTTATTTGCGTAGTTACACTGTTTTGAAAGTAGTATGCACATACATATATAGAAATTCAAACTTATACATATGCACTTATTTGATATCACATATATAGTTTGGAACTGGTTCCAAACTTTAATCAAATACCCTATTTAAATAGATTATAAAAAAATAGTTATCAGAATATGAGATCTACTGTATTATTTCAGAATTAGAGTTCCCATCTGGTTAGCGTTTATCTGGATAATTACCAGATATCAGGATCTGAATTTAATCAAATATCTATTTACAATTGATATCTGGATAATTATCTGAATACGTGTTTGTCAGACTATCCAGATATCAATAGTAAATATTATTATTGCTCAGTCAGATCTTTATTGCGAAGGAAAAAACATATGGGAATTGGGATTGCCACCACATAGTATTTCAAAGAGGTTCGTTACATAATGTTTGCTTCTTTTTGTCTGCTCATATATAAGCAAATTATTGCTTGTAATAGTTATCCTAACAGGCCACATATACTAAATAATTTTAGGAACATTTGATGGGTTGGGTTGGGTAGGGTGGGATAAAAAAAAATCAGACAAATTTTAACCAACTAAAATCATGTTATTTTGTCTTGGAAAAACCTATTCCTCTACAATGTCACAAAAGTTATAAAGCAGACTCAATTTAATCATTTAACCGTATTAATCTTATATTGCAGCACAGCTATGAAACCTTACTAAATTAAAACCTTAATCTGTAGTCATTGCACGATCATACTAAACAGCTTTATGTATATATTCATTAAGATCCTTGCACTGCTATGCAACCATAGAGCCTTACACCACTGGTATCATATACTTAATTTATTGATCGGGTAATCATTGAGCTGCTTTCAGTCACTGAGCTATGATACTAAGCAATCTCTAATTCATGAAGTCATTGAGCTGAAATTAAGGTTCTTTACTGCTATGCAGCCGTAGAGTCTTACACCTATCAATGCCCATCAGCATCATATGTTTAAGCTATTGATCGTAGTCATTGAGCTACTTTTAGTCATGGAGCCATGACCATAGTAAATTACTAAACAGATTCTATATCATCTATTAATTAAGGGTCTTACACTGCTATGCGTCCGTTGTTACGACTAGGTGAGAGCTTTTATATATCCAAGCCAATTTAGTCCAGCACCGTAAGCATAAATCCTGATGTAAGTTGCATAGTCTGGATCTGTATGTGGTAATAATTATTGATTGGGGTAAGTATTGCTGCTTCAATAAGGCTATATTCGCCAGAGGTCGTCACAGGTCAGGCCTAGGTTGATTAGGGTCCAAGTCGGGTC